GCCCCGTCCCCTGCCTCGCCGCGGCCGCTGCCGGGAGGCGGTGAGGGGCTCCTCGCCGCCCGCAACGGGTACCTGGGGTGGGAGATGCTGCCGCGCTACGGCCCCAGACACACCGCGGAGTGGAGCGGAGCTCGGCATCTGGTCCCGGCTGCGCCTGTGCGTTCCCGCTCAAAATGGGTTTCCACTTAGGAGTCTCTCACACGAGTGCAGTCTGTGAAGCTTATAAACATGTCAGTAATGTTGGCCAGACGGCGAATTTGATTTTGTAGCGATAAAGCAATGTTAAACTTACTTAACTGAGATTTATTAGTAACTTGAAAACACTAGCTGCAGAGCTTGGTAGGTTTCTTCATTCAAATAGAAACATGACTTTTCATACTCATAGAAGAGTCAAACAACCATTTGAAGACAAAGGATTCTTTAATGTTAAGGGGAATTAATCGTATTTGACTAGCTGTGCTAGACTGAAGAAGTCACATGTTAGCAAACAACCTGAACTTATTTTTGAAGATGAAGAATCTATAGTTGACAGTTGCAAACACAGTTGTAGCAGTAGACACAATTACAACCTTGTCTGCATGTTCCTCTCACTCATCACATGGGGTACAACCACCTTAAAGAAAATACAGCTCATTTTAGTCACAATGACTGTTACCTGATGGAATCCCAATGCAAAAAGTGCCTTCTGACTTAAGGTTTGTATTTCAGCCATGAAAGTGTTCTTAAACCTCACTCTCTAATTTAAAGATGGACTACATTTGTCTAAGGTTCCATGTTAAGGCACAATTTATGCACAACAAATTGATGCAGTTATAGTACATAACTGAAACTGTGAAATACTGTTAAAAATCCTTAGGACACAGCAAACAATTTTTAATATAGTAGAGTGGCAGCTGAGTCAATCCTTCAGATCCCAGTCATCAGACATGGGGCTGCATTTTTGGTTCTTACCTTTGCTCTCCAAGTCTGTATTAACAACTTCTGCATACAAGGTTGTACAGTTTATATGCTAAAAGATAACTAGTCTTTCATTTGACAGAAGCAACATATCAGATATTGACTGCTGGAAAATTATTTCAAAAACTATGAATTTTTATTTCAGAAATCAAACTCTCATTCCCCAATGTCCCAGAGTTAAAGAAAGGAAAACATTTTCCAAACAATACCGGCAAAAAGTAAAACAGTCTGTTCCAGCATCCAAGCATATACAAAAATGTTTTTGTATAGGTTGAAAACAAACTAAGCTTTTTTTTTGCCTTGCCCAGTATGTTCATATACTAGAAACCCCATAATAATAGCCTAGAACAGCAACAGAATTAATTATTAACTTACTTTTTTAAGATGAAAAAAAAAACCAAACCCAAAATGATTTTTTAAATTTATAATCTCCATCCCACCTTTCCAGCATGGTGGCATTCTTATATCCAGTTAAATGAGGGCAATGCTTACCTATATATTGAGGATTTTGTTCAATACGGTCTGGAGAAAGAGACCATGTGTTACTTCCAGCTTTATACTAGTTTCTCTAGAAATAGTTCTGCCAGTTTTCCATTTCTACTTCTTTCCATTTTATGTATCTGGCAGGATTTTAAAAATTATTTTAAAGCAGCAGCAAATAAATGTCAACAGGTAAAGTAGATTTCTGCTTGTGTGCCATCAATTAAGCTAATAAAGAATATTATAAGCAAGGCATCTTTTCTACAGGCAATTCTGATTTTAAGATGTATTAATAAGAATAATTATTAATAAGATTTGTCTTATGATTGAATTCCATACTATACACAGCTTTAAAATATTCTTAGTATTCTATTGCCAGAATTTTCTTTCCATTTGAGCACAGCATTAGTAAATAAAAATATATGCACAAGTATATACTTCTGGTCTTTCATACTATATGTATATTTATAACTAATACAAAATGTAAAAAGAAAACAGGTATTTTTAATGTATATAACATTTAAATAATTTCAATACATTTGCTGTTTGTTCCTTACAAACCCTTTGTTTAAAAAAAATAAATAAAGTTTATAAATAGATTTTAGCTTCCAAAGAAAGTATAAGGGGGGCAGTTGCCAAAAATGAACTTACTAGAAAATAGAATACTATAATCTAGATAGTCAAACCTGTCTAAACAAAGCATTATTAAATATCTTTATACTGCTATTAAAGTACAATAACTAATGAATGAAAAAAATTATCTAACTTTTGCTATAGAATCCTGTGTGTAAAACCTAGTTAAAATTAAAAAGGAGAAGACCATGTATGATACAGCCACAGGATTCCAGTTATTTTAAAAACAGGTTGCAGTTCCCAACAATAAAGTCATTCTATTATGTATCTGAAACTATGTATTTGAAAGTGTGTTTATGGATATCACAATTTGTTATCATATTTTGATAACATGCTGATAGTTACTTACTTTCTTTACAAGGCTTCTATTTACACAGAGCAGACTGAAATATGTCTGCATTGTCTGACAACACTATTCTTAAAAAAAGACATGGCTGTTTATGTAGTTAGGACTTTTTTTTTTCTTTGGATTCTTAAATTACTTTTTCTTTGGATTGTCAACAAACATCTGTATAGAAACCCTTTTCTTATTCTCACTTTATAATTTTCAAAGTCCAAATAATTTCCCTTCAGGAGGAGTCAACTGCCATTTTTCTGTCCTTTGACAACCAAGGATGAAATCATTACTAACCCCCAGAGTGGTATTTTAAGTACTACAAAGTACAGAGGAAAACGCCTCATCAAAATGGGTTAAGTCGTACTCCTGTTCCTAGTGGTGAAAAAGGATTCACTTTGGCCCACATCAAAGCATCATTCAGTGAAATAGCAGATTTTCCATCTTCGAGGAAGAACACTGGACCCTGCACAGCAAAAATATTTGGGGAGGGAAATTAAAACAAAGTACACATGTATTGTGTAAAAGCTACCACAACAGAAACCACATTTTGTTTTATCTGAGAAGAACATGAAAACCTGATTTACAGCTATCATCATCTACATTCATGCAAAAACTGTAAGTTGGTGGCTTAAAGCTTTGGCAATAGTTACGCATTATAAACCAAGTGAACTTGTGATATTTCAAATTTGGAGACCCAACATTTCATAACTCTTAAGTTTTTAGTTTTATTTTTAATAACTGTGGTATTTCATATGTTTGCCAATTATTCCAGAGTTAAATTTAGCCTGAATTTGAAACTGAGGTAACAAGGGTTTTTCCTTCAAAATACTGTACATATTTCATCATGTCTGTCATTATCTGTGCTGATCTGTGTGTTTCCCCATCTAAAAAAAAAAAAAAAAAAAAAAAAAAAAAAACAACTCATGAATTTTTTTAAAAACAGAGATACACAAAAAAAAAAAAAAAAAAAAAAAAAAAAAAAAAAGCCTCCATGAATTGTTTGAAAACATGAAGTCTACAGAATAATTTCAAATGTTCACTATGAAAAAGACAAAGTACTAATTTATCTCATGGAAGAAGAGCTAGTTGCTAGTTTCTTCATTCAACAAAATATGGTCTTGAAGCTACAATTCCATTTAAGTGCCTTCTTAAAGAGTTATGTTGTCTGAACTTGCTACGTAAAATTTGTAAACCTACTCAATTAGCCTTCTATACCTTAAAGATTTGTGAGCTGATCTGCATGTCTAAAGCAATGGCTCCTAATGTTCACTAATCCAGAAATAAGGATATTGTAGATGATAAGCTGATGACACCGTATTTGCTGTTCTTGTTGATTTGATTATGACAATGGCAGTTTTATGTGGCTGTTAGTAAATGCTGAGAGTTTAGCATAGCCAGAGACCACTGGTCTAATGTGGAAGGTTGGCAGCAAGTTTTTTTTTTTAGACTTGATGGTGTGCAGTTGTGAATTTTGTTTACCTCAAAAATCCCTCTAGCATTTTGCAATCTCCGATTTCTGATGCAAAACTATCCCTCTTAATCCCTGAGCAACCCTGTTACTCTTTGAGCTGGCATCATGCACTGGGCAGAGGAAACAGAATCAGCCCCAGGTACCAGAGTAAATTCACTCTGAGGCACTGTCTGGACACAGGAGCCTGAGAGTAGCGTTTTCAGGTTGTGACAATTTTCCTTTTATGGAAATAACAACATATACCAAAGAGGTCTTAGAAGGACTAGTATGATTTGATCATAAAGCCCTATGTGAGCGATGAATAAATATATCTAAATATTTAGTCTTCTAGTATCTGTCTTTAATTAATAATGAATTACAAGTTTTACAGTATGCATTTCCATAGCGATAAATACTGACAACAGAATAATGTTAGTATGTGGTTGAAGATAATTTCCTGGGGTTTTATTCAAGCTGTGGTGAGGCAGTAGGGAACAAGTTAAATGCCCTTTAGACAGAACATTTGGCAAAGGCAATCCGTCTTTCTCATGGAAATTAAAAAGTTTTGCATTGGGAAACCGGGAAATTATTTGATTGGACAATTCTTCTTTATGTAGCCTTTCTTCTATAGCAGATGCCAGCACTTGTCCTCTTTAACTTCTGCTACTGTGACAACAGGGAAAAAGTTCTTCTTCCAAATGACAGGAGGGACCTTAGATTTATGGCAGGCTCACAACTAGTCAATGCTATCACTGAGAAAGAACACCTCAGCTCTCTGAAACCGTACCTGTATCCTTAGCCCTGTCAAACAAGAGATGTGAACATCTGAATGACTAGGAAGATTTGATCCAGTGACGCAGTCTGGCCCAACCATTCCTTTCAAAGGCTCCTCTTGTATTCGTGATACAAGTATGGAATACACTGCTCTCTGCAATTCAGATGGCGGGGTGCATGGCGATTCATCAGTAGGCCTATGAACAAGACACACTTCTTTTTTAACTTACGTCTTAGTTTGGTTTTGAAATGAACAGCCAAAAAGTACTAAATTTTTAGATTTGTATTTAGATTTCGCAAAGGAAATAAGCACTGTATTTACAACTTAACAGATAAATACTCTTATTCATGGTAGTTTTATATTTTTCCACCTACTTGTTTAACTGAGTACAAGCTCTCCATGCATCCAGTTCCTCAGAAAGCTGTTCAATTTTCAAAGGTACAGATACTTCCCGTCTTTTCAAAAGCTGACTAAAAAAGAATACAAGTAATTAAAGTCCAAATTAATTCTAACAATGAATATTTTCTTAGAAGAAAAACAAGAGAGACAGTAGTAATATAAAACTATTTTCTACTGGATATAGAAATAAATCTATGGAAATAAATTGATTCTTCACAATAATCACTATATTAAACCTTAGACAAATTAAATTACTAGATGGAAAGCACATGAAAAACAATGAGGTGGTTGGTGACAGCCAACATGGCTTCACTAAGGGCAAATCCTGCCTGATCAATTTGGTGGCCTTCTGTGATGGGGCTACGGAACTGATGGACAGGAGCAAAGCAGCTGACATCATCTACTTGGACCTGTGCAAAGTGTACGGCACTGTCCCACATGACACCCTTGTCTCTAAATTGGAGAGACATCAATTTGATGGATGGACCATTCAGTGGCTGGATGGCCGCACGCAAAGAGTTGTGGTCAATGGCTCAATGTCCACTTGGAGACCAGTAACAAGTGGTGTCCCTCAGGGATCGGTGTTGGGACCTGTCTTGTTCAATATCTTTGTCAGTGACATAGACAGTGGGATTGAGTGTGCCTTCAGCAAGTTTGCTGACGACACCAAGCTGTGTGCATCGGTTGATACGCTGGAGGGAAGGGATGCCATCCAGAGGGACCTGGACACGCTTGTGAGGTGGGCCGATGCCAACCTTATGAACTTTAACCAAGCCAAGTGCAAGGTCCTACACCTGGGTTGGGGCAATCCCAGGCACAGCTACAGGGTGGGCAGAGAAGAGATTCAGAGCAGCCCTGAGGAGAAGGACTTGGGGGTGTTGACTAATGAGAAAATGAACATGAGCCAGCATCAGTGTGCGCTTGCAGCCCAGAAAGCCAACCGTATCCTGGGCTGCATCAAAAGAAGCGTGACCAGCAGGTCAAAGGAGGTGATCCTGCCCCTCTACTCTGCTCTCGTGAGGCCTCACTTGGAGTATTGTGTCCAGTTCTGGTGTCCTCAACATAAAAAGGACATGGAGCTGCTGGAGCAAGTCCAGAGGGCCACGAGGATAATAAGGGGGCTGGAGCACCTCCTGTATGAAGACAGGCTGAGAAAGTTGGGGCTGTTCAGCCTGGAAAAAAGAAGGCTGTGTGGAGACCTCATAGCTGCCTTCCAGTGTCTGAAGGGGGCCTACAAGGATGTTGGGGAGGGACTCTTCGTTAGGGACTGTAGTGGTAGAACAAGGGGTAATGGGTTTAAACTTAAACAGGAGAAGTTTAGGTTAGGTATAAGGAAGAAGTTGTTTACAGTGAGGGTGGTGAGGCACTGGAATGGGTTGACCAAGGAAGCTCTGAATGCTCCATCCCTTGCAGCGTTCACGGCCAGGTTGGACAGAGCCTTGGGCAACACGGTTTAGTGCGAGGTGTCCCTGCCCATGGCAGGGGGGTTGGAACTAGATGATCTTAAGGTCCTTTCCAACCCTAACTATTCTATGATTCTATGATTCTAACAGTTATTCTTGATGAAGAGATAAATGAGCTGAAATTGTTAACAGAACTACAGCGGTCAGATAGAGCAGCAAGTGGAGCCATAACAGCTAGAACAATGCCGACTCAGCTTGCACCATGGAATCAGTGACATCTCAGAGCTGGCCTTGCTACCCAGCAAGTCAGGCAACAAAACCAAAAGGATGTGACAGTCTCAAATTGCAAGGGAGAAATAGAAGTCAGCCGGATAGTAGTATTGTTACCAAACCAGATAGGAAGACTAAGCAATCCTGGTTATATTTTGAGGAAGGAATACTGAAGTATTGTATATTAGCCCATTTTATTTACCATGTAAGATAAAGATCATTGATTTTAATCTTTCTTCTTTTAAGTCTGAGTGTGGTCAGGTCAAGTCAAGTGTACCAAGTGAAATCAAGTGGGTCAGGTGGAGTAGGGTCAAGTGCATTGGGCCAAGTGAGATTGGGCTGGGTCAAGCCAAGTCTGGTCAAGTCAAGCAGGCCAAGTCAGACTGGGTAAAATCAAGCCAAGTTCATTCACATCAAGTGGGTAAAGCCGGGTCATGTGAAGTGGGTAAGGTCAAGTCAATTGAGTCATGCTGAGCTGGTTCAAGTCAGTCAAGTTTAGTCAGGTAGGGCTAGATAGGTGAGTGCTTGGGGATGAGCTGGGCCAAGTGGGCAGGTCAAGTATATTAATGCTTAAGAATATTAGCTCACTGAGTGAAGGAAAGTCAAATCAGGTTTCTTGGTGGGACTCAAGCTAGTGCCCAGTCATGAATTCTAAATTCAAAGCTTGTCCTTGTTGCTATTGAGGAAGTCTTGGCACAGATACAGTCTATACATGGATACAAAATTTGAACTGTTACCATCAACATGTAATCATGCATGGAGCTAATGCTAAATACTCACCTACTTCTAAACATTATTTTTCTTAAAGAATTAAGAGTTTGACTGAAATCCTGTATTCATAACTTGTTTCATTACCTCAGAAACTTCTACATGTATAATGCATAAAGAAAATAAAGATTGTATATTCAGGCATGCATATACCATTATAAGAGGCCTGGGAACTCCTTTTTTTGCGGGGAGAGAGGGGTAGTATGAAAGAAGAAGTTGGGACAATGTATGGCATACATCATAAAAGGGACAGATTTCTCAATGTTACTGAAAACATAGTATTACCTTGTATACTCATAAAGTGCAGGTACAATGCTATTGTACTGTCTTCTGATAGCAAGTAAAGCACCAATGTAACCACATAAAATCAGCAACTCATTCCGAAATCTGTAAATGGACAAGTATTAATCATGAATAATAACAAGCATTTTCAAAAACATTAAAGAAACTCATATTCAAATTATAATTATGAAACCTAATTTATCCATCCATCTTTTGTGAAGAATCTATGTTTGCTGATTATGCTTACTTTCTGTGTGACGTAGTTGTTAAGACATACTCCATTTGCTTTATGTTGATCTCAACTATTAAGTTTTAAATAGCATGTACAACACACAGGTATTAATAACAATTATGTGAAGTTACAAAACCAACACCACTCAAACCTTTTACTATGATAAAACTCTAAATGTAAATAAAATTGCCCCATTTATTGCTGTGGACTTCAGTTTTGCCAAGTTTCTCCACAGGCCACAGATGAGAGTTAAGCTTTTTGCTTATTTTAGTTCTTCACATGTACACCTGTGCAGGCAGCCAGGCCCAGCTTCAATCATCTGTCATAAAGGTGAACCACAGCCATCCAACTATTTTAGATTAATTCAGAGTGACAGTTCAAATTTCCTTAACACTTTGACATTAAATTCTGTATTATGTGTGGTACTCACTGCTCCTTTTTCTCAGGAAACTGAAACCAGAATGAGATTCTTCTGATCAAAGTATGATTCTTCATATATGACCAACATTGATTCACCCATTATAGATGTCCCACAGAGAAAGAAGCAATGAAATATCTTTTTTCTTCTTGTTAAACCTTGAAAATTTAGGAAAATTCCATATTCTATTCTCCAGATTTGGAACTAGCCTGCTTGCCTGCTTGCTGAAATTTTCTTTTTTTTTTTACCTCTCGTGGTAAACAAAAGAATATACTAACAGTGTGCACCTATATTTTTTTAATTCCAAGAATTTCCTTTAATGAAAATTCCACTTTTATAAGTAAGGAAAATATACTCACTCACTACATTTATGCAACACTAATCGTTCGGTGCGTATATAACTTAGAAGATCAAGGTATGGACAGATGGAATCTAAAGTCCAATCTGAGCCACAAAGTTGCTCTGTTGAAAAATAGAAACAAGAGTACCTCAGGAGGCAAGCTATACAAATTACTTATGCTTTAAAAGGTTTCTTCAACTAAGTACCTACTTTTCACATACTGAATGCCAATAGGGAGAGCCTTTTCAGGTTCTGTGCTTAACAGATAGTACTTTATAGTTTCAAATATATCCCCATCTGCCTGATTTGTCTCTGCCAACTGCATGCATTCTTCTACATCAGGAAGATTACACTGGAAAACAAAGATTTTGCCAAAGAATTATTTTAATGTTCAAGCAATTTTCTAAGATGTAGAGAAATACTGAAATTTGCACATAGCAATAAGATCAAATTCTCTGAAAGAAGAGTCATTGTTTGAAGGACATAACTGCATATAATGCACATTATGAAAGCCATCTAGACCAGAAAACACCACAGGAGGAGAAGGTTCTCTAACTTTAAGCAGTGTCAGTTTCCACTCCTAATGTTGTTTTTGGATTTTTTTAAACTATTTATTACTGCTTATAGATTTGCAGTCTTGAGTTGAACCTTAAGGGAATTTGTGGAGCAGACCCTGCTGCTGCTGAAGAGGAAAGGGGGCATTTAAGGAGATAACAGACAAGATGCAAACCAATTCAGGATAGTACAGAAAGCTCATCTGCCAAGACATGATTTGGCTGTACTTCAGTGATGAGGAGGCTATAAATCTGAAGATCATAAGATACTTCAGGAAGTAACCTGTGTCATGGAAAGACTGCACAAAGAGTAGAATTAAAGAATTAAAGTTCTTGTGCAATACTGAAAAAGTCAGTTAAGTCTAAAAGAGAAAAAAAAAAAAGGATATGCAAAACAGGATAAGACTGTTAGTGTCAAATTAACACAACAGATTTATTTGACCCTAAGTTTCCTGAAATTAGTAAACAAATCAATACATAACCTCTTGTTAGCATTCAGGTAAATTCTTTTTCATTGTACCTTTTCATGCAGGTCATTTATTTCTTCTGTGCATCCAGGATAAAAAGCACACAGCTTTGCTAATTGCAGTTTATTATCAGGAATCATCATAAGAAGATCAGCTGCTAAATCCCTGCATAAACAGAAGATGGCACAGTAGTTACTCTTGATGGTTTGTAATAGGCGGAAACTCTGTTTTCTCTTTTACATTAATTTTAGAAATAAAAGTTTACTGAAAAAGAAATAAAAAATACTATTTCTAGAGAAAAGCAGAAACAAACTCAGTCTCCAAAACTATTTTTGTGCAGTAAGTGAGGCTTTTTTTGGGAAGTCATGTGTTAACTTTCTGTTGCTTTAATTGGTTGAATTAAACAGCTGTGAAATCTAAAGCATCAGAACCACCTCAAAGTGAGATGGAAGAATATGTAAGTAGGGATGGGAAGGGAAAGTAGGACCCATCCAGTCTGAAAGAATGGAAGATGTTAATGTGACTCTGTCATGAAACCAACCTCAAACTTCCAGGCTTCTAGAACTCCATGACAAAGCCATAAAGCATCTCTTAGTCATCCAGAGCAGCTAGTGCTCCTGTGACATTACAAAAGAGATTATACATGAAAATAATGTGATATTTCTGAAAGGAAAATTGAGTTTTAGAAAACTGATACTTCTGAAAAACTCCTAACTTTTTATCATTTGTTACTCCCTCCCTGACATGACAAACAGCTGAGGGAAAACACACAAATATTAGGAAACTGCTTTGAAACAATTATTCTACTGAGCTTTTAATAATTGATTATTCTGGTTGTTCTGTGACTTCTATTCATGTGGGCATCATATCTCCTGTAATCCACAAGACTGACTTGCCTCTGTGTAAGGCATAGAACTCCTACTGAGTTCCTCTGGATGTTCAGGGTGTGGTCTTTGGTTTAAAGACGTTTGTTTGAGTAAGCTACTGTCCCATATTTCCAACTGTTTTCTGTCCACTTTCAAGTACTGATTACAATTAAAAAATTAGAACACTTGGTTTAAGCCCATTTTTAGCATTAGTAAAGTCACATGTTTTGAAATCTCTTTCGATAAACAAACAAAATACCTGTATCCAAGTGATGGAAAGCTAAAAAGAAGACATTGAAACAGTAATAAACAAAACTTTGGTTTATATTCTTAATTTACAAAGGAAAAAGTCTAATAGAAAATAACTAAACTACAACAGCAAATCTACAGGTCAGGTTAACTGATCTTAACAACAACAACAAAAAAAATAGCTTTCCAATGCTATTTCCAACCTAAAAAAGCTGATGCCAAAAGGTCTTTGGAAAACCCGTTATACTATTACCATGCAATAATCACTTTTCCAAGTTACAAAAGGCTCTTTCAGAATACAGAATATTTCACAAGTTTTTAAACTATTTTCACGATCAGTTACTCATATGGACTCATCTTCATAGGCAACTTAAACTTTTTTAAAAACTATTGGAAATTTTTCAGCCAAAAACCTGAAATCAAATGCCTATTAAAAAAAAAAAAAAAGGGAAAAAAACAAAAAGAAAAGAAAATCTCTAAAGAAGCCCTCATACAATGTCCTATAAATGGTGTTACCTGGATTATTTTATTTTTTTTTTTTTTAAGAATCAAACTTAAAACACTGTCAGCATAAAAAACAAAACCAGGTGGCTGAGTCTGCATAAGCAATATCTCAAGTAAAATACTGCTAGCCTTCTGAATAGCAGAAGGTTGATTTTAACCATATTTCTTAAACACTCACACATTTTCCCAAGGCTGTAGATTTGGAAAGATGGGGAAGGACATGAATGTTTAGTCTTTTTTGTTTTGATTTTATATTGCAGAACACTTCTAAAAAACCAACCAAACAAAAACCCCATACCACCAAACCCCCAAAATACATTTTACCAATACCTGATTTCGTTATTAACCCATTAATGTCCTTTTGGTATTCCTTGAGGTGCCTACAATAAAGCGTGTCTCTACAATGGAATGTTTCCAATTGTTGGATATCCCTAAGCATAACAACTAGTAAAAACAAAAACAGAACCCTTCAAATATCAGAGGCCCTTGAACTCCAGCTTTCCCATACATGAACTTATACATGCAGTGGCCCAAGTAGTATTATGCTGTCTCGGTATCTCTTTATTACAAAATATGAAGAGATACAGGATTCTCTAACCTTTTCCTACATAACAGAAAAATATGCTGTAACGGCTGCAAATCAGAATGCAGGATTGCAGGGTGTAGCTGTAATATGTATTCAGTATAGCATATGAAACCCACTGACAAATCCAAAAGTAAACTTGGGCAATATGCAATTTCATCATGTGTACCCATGTAGACTTCAGTGTACACATGCTATAAGTTCGCAGAAGTTTTATGTACATACACATAAATACCATACTATTATAAGTACTTGTTACACACTGAGATCAGAACTAGCTTTTGTTATGCAACTGGAAAAAAATACACACTGTTTTTCTTAACTTTACGTCCAGTGCTTCCTATCACAGGCTACATAAAAATCACTCTTCACAAAGAAGTCAGGGAGATCACAGGAAGAGTTTCAGAGACTTTAAAAGCTGTAGATGGAGTTTACAAAAGAACCTTGTTAGAACTGGTGCAATACAGAAATGCTAAATCATTGTAAAACCAAAGCAGCACACCATCCATTTCTTATTTTATCTTTTTCTAAAATGCTTCATTGTCTAAAGCAGGCTAAATGCTCTGTAAATGTGAATTCCCCTAGGTTTCTCTCAGATACTTAAGCAAATAATTCTGTAGCAGAAAAATTGATGCTTAATTGCAATATCTGTTTATGCACACATTTTCTATGAAATGTTAATCCTGAAACACCTGTACAGATGCCAAGTATACCTTAGAAAGATTTCCTGCTTTTCACTGGTATGCAAAAACACTGACCAAAACTGTGTCTTTCCAAGCAAAACCACTACAAGAAGGAAAAGAAAGTTTAGCAGAGATAAAGCTTCCCCTATACACAATAGAGAAATTACTTCTGCAGAATGAAATAGTGATCCTATTTCATCCTTACATCTTGTTAGCTATCTTGTATTCCTGAAATAAATATAATTCCTCAGCCTCTTAGATTTTTATATTTTTCAATCAAACACTTAAAAATCACCTCACAGATCCCACTTAAGCTTCTGTTCCTTTTTGACTTTTTAATTCAGTTGTAGTCTTACTTTGTCCAAAGGAGTCATTTTTACTCAGTACAGACTAGGACTTGCAATGTTACCTATTGCCCAAGTACCTACATTTTTCTCAGTGGGTTTCATGCTCTGTTTGACAATGATTCTTTTCTCATTTACACTACATATAATGTATTTTGAGATTAAAGCAGAACATTTGCATGCCCTGAACTTCAAAGGTTTAATATAGCAATTCTTATTCAACCTACCCATGGTAGTTTGGTGTAGTTTCAGTATGAAACACCTTAATTGTTTTGTCGGGGGGGGGTGGGGAGTGGAAATCTTGGGATTAAAAAATTCTTACCATGTTGTTACTGTCATACATTTTCTTGCTAGTAATTCTAGGGCATAATGTGTTGCTTGTGCTGCACTTTCTCCTAAGACAGTACCCACACTGATTGCCAACTCCAGTTCATTTCCACGAATCAGGTTTGCCATCGCAAGCTTGCTCAATGAAAAAATTATATCATTAAGGGACACAAGCATTTTTGGGGATTCACCATGTTGAGCATATGACATTAATTTATGAGACTGCTTTTTACAGAATGCTAAAATAGGCATTAATTAAAGCAACTCTACATATAATTTGCATCTCTTGAATGAGTAAATAATTGTGCACCATGTGTTAATCAGTTTATAAATAACCAAATAGATCTACTTTAACAGAATCTTCTTTTATTCAACCAAAAAGATTACATAAATATTATACCTAAGAAGCATGACAGCAATTCCTTCTAATCTTAAGTAAGGACACTAGGTTTCAAAGCACATATTTCCTCTCTTTTGGTGAAAGAAGACTCAAAAAAACCAAAACCAACCAAACAAGAAACCAACCAAGGCAGGACTCTCTTGTTCTTACCCTCTCTGGTCAGTTGGAGTTGCTGATAGGCACAGCAGAATATTAAATAGAAAGACACTACACAATGACTTGAAATATGTCTATTTTGAAATACAGGCAATGACCGATTATTGATTTCTCTCTGAAGAGCCTATTATGATGGAATTTTACTCATGTGAGGGGATAGAGGAGGAAAAATATTGACTCAGCAACAATAAAATCTAGAGAGAATGAGGGAAAGAAACAATTTGTAAAACCACAAAAAAAAAAGAGAGAGAATTTTATTAAAAAGTTTCCTATGTGTCACTGGTTCCTACATAGACTGTTTCCTACAGTAGTGAGGCACTGGGACAGGTTGCCCAAGGAATCATGAATGCCCCATCCCTAGCAATGTTCAAGGCCAGGTTAGACAGGGCTTTGGGCGATATGGTCTAGTGGAAGGTGTGCCTGCCCATGGCAGTGGTGTTGGAACTAGATGATCTTAAGGTCCTTTCCAACCCAAACTGTTCTATGATTCTATAAGGTAGAGATTACATCACAATAAAGTTGGGTCTTTTGAGTCACCATAAACAGTAATACTTATGTGTATATGTATATATGTAAAGTACCTAGGTACCTTATATTTTCTAATACAACAAGATAGTAGATACATAAAAATACAGTAATAAAATACTACTTTCTGTACATGAGGGAAATCTTGAATTTAATGGAATCAGGGGGTTCTGTAAAGATCAAACTCTCTCTATAAGTTTATTCAAAGCAAATACTGAGAGCAAGTAACACATTTTAGAATGTGGTACATAGATTTTTAAAAACAATTAAGATGTGGAGATGTAAAAAGGAAGTCAATGTTGCCCTTTCCCAAGACTCTTCCACTTACAAGAGAAAAAAAATTACCTCTATATTTTCAACAGCCAGATGGCAACATGCTGCAAGCACTGCATGGCCATCCTGGAAATACCATTCTGCCAGTTCTTTACTGACGTTGTGCAGAAGCCTGCAAGAATAGAATATGAATTATGCAAGGTTACTTAAAGGTTGGAGTTCTTCGGCTCTTAATTTATGTACAAGTCACCACATTTGCTTCTGTACCCTAAAATTTCTCTATCTGACTTACAGAAGATGACACCACTAGCTTTAAAAATGCAATCAGTTTGAGTTTCATCCACCACTTATGTTGGTGCACATTCAAGTGGGTAAGTTTTTCAAAATCTACATCAGTATGGAAATGTCTCCTCATATCGACAGAAGAGAAATCCAGTATTTGGATATTCATGCTGTATCTGTGAACTCCGCGTAAGTATCTCTCCATTTGCACACGCACATCTTTCCAATTGCATACGTAGATGAAGTAACTACACAGCCTCCAAGCTGCTTTTGTTACTACACATATAAATTGATAATGTAATTTAAGTTTTTTGAGCACTGTTCTAAAGAAGGAGAGATGCATGGTTTCTTTTATGGGCATGCACAATGAAAATATGGCCATTAGCACACATTGTCAGAAATTTAACTGATGATAAACAGTAAAAGTTTCAGAAGATGCATAAAACATAGGGTCTCACATATACTTGTTCATGCTAAATCTTACTTTACTTACCAAAAGTTCAGTGTTAATATGCTACATATTTAAACATATTTAATTGCAGAGGAACGTATCAGGCAAATGAAAAGGATTTTTCTAATACATACATATGAAAAATACATTTGGTGTCAGAAGTGACAACAGAGGAATTATTAAGAGTAGCATCAGACAGTAGGTAACTAAGTACTAGAAGATGTCATATTTTGTGTCAAAGTCTACATTGCTGATGCCAAATTAAACCACTAAGGTTTCTCTCTCTTGATAACTTTACATTCTTCATTAAAATAAGACTTTAGATATAAAAAGAACAACTTACTCATTATAATCATCTGTATTGTTTCCATCAGAATTTGAAGATCCATCTGTTGTGGAGAGTGGTGATATCTGTATATTTCCCTCACAAGCTGCCTGGCAGTGAATAAAAAAATAAAATAAAAATAAAACTGAATATGAAAGGCATTTAAAAAAAAATAAAATAAAAAAAATCAATGATCTACAAAAGTCCTTCTAAGGACCAGATATAACAAAGGAAATATTTAAACCAAATAAATTATTCATAGCTAAATCTTTGTCTAATTTTACTCAGCCATACAAGAAATTCTACAGAAGCAAGAGACTTCTTCCCTGTGCATTTGTACAGAACTTTTCACAGCATTTAAATATGCTTAAAATGGACAATGAAGGGTAAAACCTTGATTTTTACATCCCAAAGAGCAAGTGGCTGTGAATGAAGGATGAACTGCATAGATACTTTTCAGTAGGTACACCAGCAAATCTGGAAAGATTCAGACAGTGGCACAAGCTGACCCTTTTTCATGTCTGGCAATAAATTATTTCTGTCATTAAATAAAAAGAGATCAGTGTGGGTTCAAAGGAAACTCTTTCATGTGTTTTAAGGTGTAGCTTGGTTAACAACATTAGAACTCAGGGCTAAGTTAAAAGAGAAAGGCCTGGTATTTTATTGCTTAATATTATCTGATTAAATCTTTGAGACAAAGACTATTCTATGAATTGTACTAAAAGTAACCCCTGAAATGTCTGTCTTACAAGAAAAATAAAGGTCTTTCTAAAGCTTTACAATGCTTTAAGGTTTAAACATTACAACTTGTTGAATTTAAGCATACCTCAAAGTTCCATTCTCTGCACAACAACATACAGATAGACAATTTCTAAAGGACAAATTCATATGCATTATTAAAGCTCTTATCTCTGAGGTAATTGAATGTTCAAGGCATGAAAGAGTGTACTAGGGACAAATCATGACAGTTTATTTAACAAACTATATTAAGTATGCAGAAATTAGTCAAAAAGAATAAAGGAATGGTGAAAGAGAGTGGAAAAAAAAAAATCAGTTTCTCATGTTTTGTGTGCTGTTTAACTTGTGTTTACATCTGAAGCAGAACGTGCTTTCAGTAGTCTCTTGTATTGTTTTTTGTACTGATTTGAAAATTTGGCTTCCTACATTGATTACTACTGCAATCGAGAAGTTCCACCCGAAGATTCTATAGCAAGTAACGTAAGCAAGACCTCAGCAGAAATGCAAGACAAATCCTACATGTCTTTGATGTTAAGGACAATACTGGCTCCTGAAAATCAGGTTAATTTTCTATTTCAACCAAAACCAAATACATCAGTTCTCATTTAGACATTTGATTGCCATTTAGAAGAACTGTGCTTAAAATTTGTAAACATGAGATACCTTTTTATGATTTCTGGATAAAAACTGGTCAATACAATATGAAAGTACAGAGCAGGGTAGTATTATTATTTAGCCATTTTGCAGAAGTGAATAGAGCTAGTCTTTTAAATATGCTTGCCATCTTCAGAGTTATAAACACATAACTAAATACATCTCCCACATCATTCTATATAGTACCTGTGCAACAAGAAGAGCCTCTTTAAGCTGGCCTCTTGCAGTAAAGAAAGACACTAGTTTCTTCACATCTCCTACAGCTATACAGTATGGGATGACATCATCATTTTCTTCCTGAATTAACTGATCAGCTCTCCTAATTAAACAAATGAATAAAATACATAATTGATCAACACCTCTCTATGGTACAGGTGTTAGATGAAGCTATACAAAGTTCATTGAAACCCATCTGCCTTTCCAGATCTCAAAAGACTTGCAAACTGTGGGTACTGCACTAAAGGGCTAAAGCTGCAATTTATGCTCAACTCTTTAACTTGATTCCCATCAAAATCGTTGTTGAAATCCTCTACAATTCCACCCCAAAGCTTACTGAGCAAAAAGTAACATCACTAGAATGCTGTAGCAAAAGCAAAGTACAATTGGTGCTAGTATCCATCCTTCCGACTTATCTTTGTCCTTCTATGGACAGAAGCTACAATTCAGCATCATAATTTTTATTACCTTACCTTTGCATTAAATTCCTCCAATATTTCATTGAAACTCCAGGTGCAACTGAGAGAGCTTTGTCCCACTAGAAGAAAGCAGCAATACATTTAACTCGATCAATTTATTTTGAGAAACAGCTACGTTTTTAATTTGTTTCACATTTCTTACATTAAAAATAGATTTGTCAAGAGGGTAAATAAGGAATGAGCTATGCATTAGACTGCATATGTTAAAAATAATATAATTGGAGCAAAATTACACTTTTCCGGACTTGTGACCCATTTTGTTACTACCTCATCTTTGGTAGAGTAGATGGTTTTCAGAAACCATTCATTTCAGAACAACCTGTTCTTGTTCTTCAGCAACGTTCTGATACTTTACCTCTCCAAGTTCTACCATTAGTTCACAATATCGCTGAATTTGTCCTAGTCTTAAATGTATTTCTGCAGCTTCTTTAAGCCTCTCTTCTTTGCTTGGTGCACCAATACCACCTCCAAACTTGGACATTTTTACTGTTGTCAGTTCTTGTGCCCTGGACTGAGGGAAACAAAAAACAACACAAAAACAACAGAAAAGATAAAAAAGTTAAAAAAGCACAGTTTTCTGTGGTGAAAACAAGTTTTCTTAAGAATGAACTAGTGTCAAATGTTACAACGGAATACAAAAGTATTAATTTAAGAAAAAAATCCTTTTGAGAAAAGCTTAATTGGAAGATATTACTAATATCTTAGAAGTGAACTAATTAGAAGCGCTTACAATGAGATTACAGTAAACTATATTGTTAAAGTAACTGTTAGTGTTTTGTTGCACACATTCATTTTACTCGATTATTTTCCTTTAATCTCTTACATATATATATTTTTTATATTCTCAACCATTTTGTCATATGTAATAGTAATTCACCAGATGTCCATCATAAAAATCTTGATATTTACGAAATTTAAAATAAAACCATCCATGAACATAAACCATACAGGGTTGGGAATTGTACTTATTACCATTACAATGATGTCCACATAAAGAAAGAATAAAGACAGTAGGCTCAACTGGTGTCCTGATCCGTCATACCCCATGAACCTTATGACCAGTAAATGATTTACATTTCCAATCACTGCAATTTTGATATTAGTTGAAGAGACAAGACTAAATTTCTCCGTCTGGCAGAGTTTGAGAAACAAGCTGTAATAGGATGACATTTAGCATAACAAAAAAACCCAAAACCCCAACCAACCAAAAAACCCCAAACCAACCACCACAAAGGAGCTTTGCTTCACATTTCAAAAATTGTCAGTTTAACTTTATCATCAGTACATGTGAGACAGTGTTTGGCTATTCATGGCTTTACAATACCATATAAGGAGGATGGCAAAGAATCTGTTTTTTTTAAAACAATGGTACTTTTTTACTTGACACCTCTATCTTTTTTATCATTTTCATGCTCAAGTCTCTGATGTATCCTCTCTGTCTGCTAAAACAGAAAAACCCACTTACTCTAGGTCCCTACTTCATCCTGAAATATTTAGGTGCTGCAATGCCATCATTCAGTTTCATAAGGGAAAATGGTATTAGCAGCCATACACAAACAGCCAGCACTACCCTATCCCTACTTTCTCTTAAAGCTCTGTAGCAAGATTCTGAGCCAGCAAAAAGGGGACAAAACCCTTTTAATTAATGTGAGTAATTAATCCAGATCCACAGAATGAACAGCAATTAATGTACTTACTCTAGGTTGCCTGAGTTATAAATGCATTAAAATGAGTTGCAAGGATAAACAGAGTGCTTGCACTGCATAAGTCAAAAATTAAATGTCTTCTTCTCAGCCTAACTGGTTGAGAAAACTGATTTTGGGATACATGGACACATATACAGAGCTCCACAGAATAAGCAAAGCAGCTGTTATTATTACAGTTAACATCACTAATAAAAAGCTTCTATTACTTAAGAGTCATCAGGTATGTAGGACAATTTAAGACTCTGATTTTGCAAAAGACAGCCTGCAACAACAAACACCAGGTGATACATGGCAAGTGTTTAGCCCTGGAGGTGGCAAGTGGGCTGTTACATATTTCCTGATCCATACCAATAGATAATCTTTCCTCTATTTCCAACTCAGTCATTAGAGTATGGGATTCTTTAGTATCACTAAGAAGTCCCTGACAATACCACATATCCCTGTATACTGTACAAATTGTATGTCTGGTTGCATATTCATATTTGCAGCTACTAAGAAATGTATGGCCTAGTACTGGAATTTCACATTCATATCTGAGTCACTCTTCAGCTGTGTATCTGTATTAATGACAGGTTCTTGGTTTTCCACTCCTTCTAGACAGCTTCAGAGCATATTTCTGCTGACTCTCCCCCATTTTCAGACATGAATTCCCCTGTTGTGCACCTGAAAAAGCTCCATGTTTCTACAACCAAAAAATTTGACTTTATGGAACATAGAAGTACAGTGTATGCAATAGAGAAGACAAACTTACATCATAACTCAAGCTGTTGTGATGCTCACTTTGCAATTTCTTTTTCATTATTTGGAAAATGCCTTTCCAGTTAATAATTGTTACCTAGCATTTTATCACTGACTGTGCATGAAGTCATACAGACTTACCTAGGTGCTATTGTTATAACAGACCAGTATTGCACAAAGAAATTATATTGTACAAATATCTTTGGACATGAAATAAATTGTGACTCTTTTGCAAAGCATTAAAAGTTATTTTTAAAAATAATTAAAATACTATAGAGATTAACAACCATTTTCACCTGCTGTTTATGCTTCACTTACCATTCTAAATCTAATGAGATGTTTCATATGCATAATTCCTTTGCAGTAGTTTTGTGGAAGTAAACTGTCATCCTGTCCTTTTATTACAGCAACCAAATCCCATAAATTTTTGCTGCCTCCTGGAGGCTAAAATTGTTAGAGAAGAAAAGAGCTGTATTACAGTAATGTTCAAGAGAGAAACTTGAACTTTTAAAGACATTGGAAAACATTTGTTCGTCGATTCCAAGAAACACAATTTCAGACCATTTTGATATTACAAGCTTTCCTATGAAGACATGAACTAGTTCAAGATACTACAACTCTATGTTCTTGAAGGCTATGAAGATACAGCAGGATCCATGAACCTAAGTATTTGGTTATGTGTGGACACAGTTGATGGCTCGCCATTACAGTTTTCCCTTTTGCTCCCAAAAGAATGCAAGCTGTTTGGTGGCTTCTACTGGCATAAACCAACATTCATCTGCTGGGACGCAGATGCTGCCCCAGTACTTGTTTACCATTTTCTGTAGAGCAAAGGTGTGGGCCAGGCAAAAAACAACTTCAAGGATCGACTGCCACAATCTGGTTTACTATCTTAATATTAAATCTTAAAATAGATACATATGGTATAACTGTATATGCACAGAAACTTTCAGGCCATCAAGGCAATTAATTTTTAATAAATTGGAAGCATTTTTATTGGTCTAACATTTGAATCAATCCTTCTGTAGAACTAAGACAATGGCTTAACACTGAATGAGGCCTAAAAGAGAGAGTGAGTAATTAAAAGCCTAAAAAAAAAAAAAAAAATATATATAAAAAATCATTATTAAACCTAACTTGAAAGAGCTTTTCTAAGAACAACAGGATTACAAGTTGGGGGTAGAGGACATGGAGAAGAGACAGACAATTCCCTCTTTTTTCAATCTGTTAAAGCTCTTATTGACTGCTCAGAGTTTAAGCACGGCACTGTATTTTCTGGACTCAAAAAGCACTGAACACAGCGGATCAAGAAAAGGTTTTGTTCTTGGAATATTCTAATATTCTTATAAAAGTATTACTGTCAAATCAACATGGGACATCAATATTTGCAACTTCTGAAAACAAAGAATTCTATAAAATACAATTTAACAAAACAGGAAATTTCAAGATTTGTAATTGAAGCAGTGTTTCGACATTTCATACACTTCAATTTAGCTAGAAATCAAACCAAATATTTTGGATTAACTAGGTCTGTGTAGATCAGTCTGTTGACTTAAATTACAACAGAGCTTGACGCAAGCTGTAGTTCCAGGTCATTTTTATCCTCATTCTACCTCAACTTCAGTTGCTGTGCAGGTAAGCACTCTCAGGACAGTTTCTATTTTTAACTTGATTGCAGAGAGATGCTGCAGTGATCTATAGGAAATATTATTGTGCAATAGAGCATAGGGGTGGGTACTGGGGCATTGGTCATCCAGATCTACAGCTCCTAGAAGGTAATACAGCGGTTCTGACACAGACACTTGGGCAGTTCAAACCTTATCTGTAACGAAGGTGTCTCTTTGATGGATTAAAATTAAAAACTCCAATGTAGTTTGATAAAACATATCTTTTATTTGCTTCACTAGAAAATTCTTGCCAAATCAAACCTTTCCTACAGAAAATTAAATTATCCCACTTATTACACTTCGTGAAAAATTGGTGCTCACAACTGACAAAGAATTTAGTCATGGATTTTTTTACATGCAGAACTGTTAATAGACAGAATTGATTTCTGCATATTTCTGAGATTCCTTTAAGAAAAAAAGGTAGAAAAGAAAAAAATTTCACTTTTGGGAACTGACTTCAGAAGATAAAGTCACTCACATTGACAACATCCTTAAGTTTGCACAATACTTACTGAAAAACATTCTGAAAACCACCTTAGTTTTTTTACTCGAGCATTTCCTGGTTTTTTTTCCACATCTTGTTTAATATCTCTGGAAACTTTACCACACAGCAAAGGAGGAGCACCAGATTCCACAGCACGATCTAACACACACAAACATACATCAAAATTTAAGGAAAAAAAAAATAAGAAAAAAGGAAAAAAAATAAAGTAACATAGAGAAAAATAAAACAATGGTATATAGAATTTACTTACCTGTATTACCAATAATCTCGTCCCAACATCTATCTGCTAAGATACTCATTTGTAGAGGATTTATAAGAGGTGTCAATGACCAGAGTCTCACAGTGGAGTCACGAGAGCAAGATGCCATAGTAAATGGACGACTAGGATGACATGTTAATCCTAGTGGAGAGGGCATTTAAAAATGTAGTCAAGTGATTAAGTTTATCTAAGAACTAATATGATTAAATGATTTTATAAAGTATATTAAAATGCCTTTCAATATAGAAATGAAATTTAAAAATATTACCATACACATCTGCACCATGATCACAAACTGTGTCCAAACATGTTCCATCTCTTGTGTCCCAGACTCGAATTGTATAGTCCCAACTGCCAGATACCAGAAGGTAAGGAATTTCAGGATTCCACATCAGTCCCCGTACTGGAGCTGTATGTCCACTAAGAACATTTATACAAGCATCCTGTGTATAATCCCATATTCGAACAGTACTGAAACAGGATAAAAGAAGAAAGCTTCTGTACTGGACATTAAGAAGCATTTCTTCACCGAGAGGGTGGTCAAACACTAGAATAGGCTATTAAACTGTGAAACTCTCATCACAATTATACAAGTAATGAGGAAGAATTCATACCAGATTTCTTACTGTTCTTTTCTTCCCTTTTAAACAAGTAGATATCCAGCATTTCCTTTTCTTTTCAACAACTGCTATTGCTGCATACAGCTAATTCAGCAGACTACAGAATTAGGAAAAGTTAATTTCTTGAAAGGATCGTTGTAATTCTGGCTAAATTTTACTATGTAATTAAATAAGTTACCAAAGCTCTTTCATGGCAGCAAAGCCACCTATTACAGTTTCTCCAGTGCTGCAAAGAGGCAATTTGATAGACCTTGCTTCACAATGTAGAATCTACAAGTTTAAAGGTCACTTCTGTATCCTGGGCTGTATCAAAGGAAGAGTGACCAGCAGGTCAAAGGAGGTGATCCTGCCCCTCTACTCTGCCCTCGTGAGACCTCACTTGAGTACTGTGCACAGGTCTGCTGTCCTCAACATGAAAAGGACATGGAGCTGTTGGAGCAAGTCCAGAGGAGGGCCACGAGGATGATAAGGGGGCTGAAGCACCTCCTGTATGAAGACAGGCTGAGAAAGTTGGGGCTGTTCAGCCTGGAGAAAAGAAGGCTGCATGAAGACCTCCTAGCTGCCTTCCAGTATCTGAAGGGGGCCTATAAGGGTGCTGGGGAGGGACCCTTCATTAGGGACTGTAGTGGTAGGACAAGAGGTAATGGGTTTAAACTTAAACAGGGGAAGTTTAGATTAGATATAAGGAAGAAGTTCTTTACAGTAAGGGTGGTGAGGCCCTGGAATGGGTTGCCCAAGGAAGTTGTGAATGCTCCATCCCTGGCAGTGTTCAAGGCCAGGCTGGACAGAACCTTGGGTGACAGTTTAGTGCGATGCGTCCCTGCCCATGGCAGGGGGGTTGGAACTAGATGATCTTAAGGCCCTTTCCAACCCAAACCATTCTATGATTGTCCTACAGTAATACAAGCTCATGTGTGACCCTTGAATTCTGTTAACTATGTTCTGCATAAGCCTGGGTGCTACACAGGTCATCCAAAATTGTTCTGGCTTTGAATGTAAACAGGAGTGTTACCAAGTATAAGAAACTCAAAGGACTGCTTACTTTGTTTTACCTAGGACTAAGTTATCCAGTGATCCCCTCCCCTCAGAGCGACAGTGTGACTGTATTCTGGAAATCGCTCTGCACCCATATCTTCAGACATGATGTAAGCATGTGGTAACCTCCTTGTATCATTCCTGGGAGTAACATGTATCGGTCACTTACTCTACTCATGGGAAAACATTGGGAATGTGCTCTGCTACAGCAGTTGTGACAATTTTAGATAATGATCCTGCTGCCCAAATACTGCATTAAGCTAACAGCAAAGCTACAGCCTGAATAGGAACAAGGCAGAGATTTAGATTATTCTATTATTCACAGAATTTTTGAAGGTACCATCACCAGTACTACTAAAGATCTTAAGTGTCTCTAATAATCCTGCTCGAGTTTTAAGTTTTCTAATAGTTCAGAAATACATACCCATCATCAGAGCCACTGCAGAGGGTTCCTTCTCTCAGAGGAGACCACCGTACATGAAAAACCTTTGCAGTATGCCCTGTAAAAACTTTCAGTGGCTGATCAGAGCTGGTTGCCAAGTAATAAACACGAACATTTTTATCCTCACAACCAGTAGCTATCATATCTCTGAAAAATAAAAATAGTGAAATCCTCGGTCACAGGGATTTTTAGTTTAAAAATAAATATGATGTGTATTTTGCAGTTTACTTTTAAAAAAAGTGTATTTTTGCTTCACCTTTGTCTCTTTATGGTGTAATTACTGATAACCCAATAAAATATACTAAATCAGAAAAAAACTGATGAAGATCCATTAGTTGCAATAGGGAATAGCATTTGCGCTATACTCTGACCAAGCACCCAACACACTATTATGAATAGATTAAATTACCATATAATTGGGGTTTTTTTGTGAGAAAAGGTTCTCATTTCTTTATTAGGAATTATCTGCAAAATTACTGTATATCACAGTGTATTTAGTTGCTGCTATATCTTCAGCTTATCAGTCATTAAAAGGAAGTCAGTCTAATCAAACTGAGCCCAATTTCCTGGTATTGAATGTCTGCTTTTTTTTTTTTTCCTCTATTATATATTCAGTCAGATAATACTTTTTTTATCTTTCATCAATATGAAATGATTCTCTTTTGAGAGTTAAGTAAATTCATGCTTGGCAACGAAATACACTGCTGAAAATATAGAGCTGTTACAGATATATACTACGGTGGAACAGAAACAATTTCAGTGCTCTAATATCACTGTAAAAATCACATTCTAAAGTTACTTAATTGGTAACCAATTTTAATGGTAAATATTATCAAATCTTTGGGTTAATTTTTACTTACTTGTTGTTTTGACTCCAATCACAGCCAAATACTGCAGCTGGATGTTTGTACTTGTGAAGAACCTTGCCATCAATGGTTCGAATAATACTGAAACCAATTAACATGTAATATTATGAGGAAAAAAGCATTCTGAGTAGCATATCCAAAAGTCAAGTTTGATTCTGTGCAAATAAGCCAGATAAAAATATGTATATGGAAAGAATACAAGAAATCTTTTATTTTTACATCCCCTCAACTACTAAGGCTAACTATCTATTTCCCAACAGAACATTTAATTGAACTTCAGAGTCCATGTTCCTTCAGAGGGACGGTAAAGATGTCCATGAGGTACCTCCCTCCCTGAAAGGATCCTCATAGCCAAAGTCTACGTTGTAGCTATGGTTTTAAGGTACAAAGGAATTTAGGGATTACAAATAAACAAATAGATAGATTGATTGTTTTCTAAAATTCATGCTTATTATATTTGAGCTGAAATAACACGGGTGGCAGCGAAAAAGAACGATCAAGGGTTTAAAAATGTACTGAAACACAATATATACAAAATTGGTCTCAGTGGGCAAGTTTTATCCATAAGCTATTATACCCCTGTAATAGAATTGCAATTACTTTTTTCAAAAATAGTGATTCCTAGTCCTTGAAATGACAAACTCAAAAAAAAAAAAAACCCACTAAGCCAAAGACCAGTAAAGTGGGATAGCTTTAGAAAAGTGTCCTCCATATCTACAGATAAGAAACCTAGAAGAATATTCTTGGCTAAAATTAAAATCTGTTTCACTATCAAAGTGTCTTAGACACAATTACTTTTGCCTTTATTTTTTTTCTTAAAATCGTGAAAAACATACCCAACAAGTACAGGAGATCAATATAATCCAAGGTTTGCCCAGCAAGAAAAGTTTTCAAATTAACCACTAATAGTACTGTTAAAGCTTACTGATTTAAGTGCATTTAGCAATTTTTGATTTTCTTCCAATAACACTCACCAAAATCCATCACTGCTGCAGGTTGCTATTCTTTTGGAATCTTTATGACTCCAGGCAATGCAGTAGATTCCATTCTTTCCATGCTTCAAAAAATGCAAAATACCTATCAATAAGAAATAATTCACCCCTTTTTCTCTCATCTGTTGACTCATCTTTTTCATTTTATTCTCCTATGGGCTTCAGCCCTTTTCTCCCAGTCAAGAACACTGTACAAAAACACATTACAGTGAGTCCTCAGTATAGCTTGCATATTTGAGAATCCAAGTCCAAAAAATTGGGACTGAGAGGAAAGACAGTAAAACTGCCATGCTCTCCAGGATCCAAGAGACAAAACTGGGTCACGCTGAAGAATGAGCCACCCATAACTATTTAAACCTGAAGCTTGAATAAATTATAGCTACTTGTTGGAATAATGAAGTTAGTGGGCACGAAATGTGAAAACTTAAGTGAGAATGTACCAGGACAAGCCTTTGAGAAAAAATGTTTACTAGCACAAGTGCAAATCTGAGTGTTGGAACTCAGGAACTCCTGAATGCATGCATGTATATTTGTTTTCTGCCTGCTCCCCACCCCCATCTCTGTCTTCTTAATAAGCATCCTTTGTCCTCCAATACTGATGCCACAGTTAATTATGTCTGTATAATCTTCAGACTACAGCTATATACTAAGATGATAGTATACAAAATAGTATAAAATACTACATATATTAAATAGCTGCTTCTTCCAATAACAGTTATGCCACTGTTTCAGGACTTACAACTGCTTGCGTAGATTTTAGGTAACACAAAGCAAGATTCTAAACAACGCATGCTGTTTAGTGTGCTGCAAAATAGAGCTTTAGTGGTCTAGACTTCAGGGAGTGAAAATTTTTCTGAGCCTTATGTTTGAAAATACAGAACAGCATTTTAGATTTTGATGCCCAGTTTAAAGTCTGTACGTCCATATACATTTACATTTTTAAGACTCAGGTAGGATTTTGCTGTGTATCACAGAAAATTTTAAATAATGGTGCTTCGTCATTCTCATGTCACAAATCCATTCTGAGGAGATATAAACTGGCACCCACATAATTCTTCCTATAGATTTTTATATTATAGCACCTTTTAAAATCCTACAAACTTTGACCTATCTTTATTTATTGACACTAGAGGGAATGACTAACTTACATTTCATATAGACAAAACGAGTAACCTCATCTTACCTCACTGAATCTGGTTATCATTTTGCCTTTTTGGACATCCCAGATGAAGCCACCATTTCTGGATGTTGCACCTGCTATGCAGTTCAGATCTCCTTTAGAGAAAAATATTTGTAAGAATAAATATCTCAGAATAAATATAAGATCACAATATTATTTGACTAATGTGTTTCTACTTTAAGTTCAAGAAATTTAATATAAACAGAAGAAATCAATGGCACATAAACAAGAGTTTTTCATATTTTAAGGACATCATTTGTTACTGTCACAAATATCAATTTCAACAAAAGCCTGCTTTCCTACATTTCTATTTTGAGGAAAGGACAAGATAAAAGTTGTATTGTTGTAAAAAGTATTCTCAATGCCTGCTGAAAGTCTTGCAGTTAAGGTGACAAAAAAAATTAATGTCCATGATGTATAGGACTCAAACTGAAAAAGAGATACAATCTCAATGTGTCAAGTGTAAACGTTGTAGCAACTAGAGCATTTTCTTTAAAGTTCCCTATATACCAAGACAAACAATGAAGAACATGTCAGGACACATGTCGTAGCTTAACCCCAGTTGGCAACTAAGTACTGCACAGCTGCTTGCTTACCCTCCCTCCTCTTCCCCCATGGGTTGAGATAAAACAGTTTAATAATTGAAATAAATTAAAATGCAATAATAATAATAGTAGGGGAAAAAAGATATAGAGAGATAAACCCCAAGAAACACATGTAATACTAATAATAATTACAGGAAATAAAAAGATAGAGAGGAATAAACCCCAAGAAACACAAGTGATGCACAATACAATTGTGCACCACCCACTGACCAATACCCAGCCTGACCCAAGCAGCAATAGGCCCCTCCCGCTCAGTTCCCCCCAGTTTATATACTGGGCATGACATGCTGTGGTATGGAATACCCCTTTGGCTAGTTTGGGTCAGGTGTCCTGCCTCTGCTTCCTCCTGGGTTCTTGTGCCCTTCCTCACTAGCAGAACATGAGAGACTGAAATGTCCTTGATCAGGGTAAGCACTACTAAGCAACAACTAAAACATCAGTATGTTATCAGCATTATTCTCAGACTAAATCCACAACAGCACTGTACCAGCTACAAGGAAGAAAATTAACTCTATCCCAGCCAAAACCAGGCCACAGTTTTCTTAGTCTTGCACCTCTACAGCACCTAAGCCCATTAAGAATGTACCTGAATCTGTAACCACATTCGACATGACAGAAAATCTAAATATATAACTCCATAGTGAGAAAACGAGAACTAAATTCAGGCTTAATCCAGAAGCCACTGAATCCTCCTCATCACAGTGATCCTCTATCCCAATATAGCTATACTTTTCTTAAATAGTTTTAAGGCACATTTATATAAAAGTTTTGACTTATTTTATACCACACTTCAGAAGTGGAAAAGGAAAACTGGGATGGACAGGAACGGTTGGACAGGATGGTAAGTATCTCAAGTTAAAGCACATGCTTACAATTAACTTAAATTTACTTTAAAAAAATAATAAAGAATCAGAACGCAAGACTTGAAAAGCACCCCTCCAGTGAACAAATTATTCTCGCAATGTGAGATACTACTGCAAACTGAATTTAAATTTCTAAACAAAATAACACGAAAGAAAACACCATATTTCATATTGCCATAATTGCCATATAACAAGACAAATTATCTGTGAAGAGGAACAAGGTGCAAGAGAATCTAAACTGAAGGAAGTCCAAATTCATTTCACATATGCAGACTACATTAAGCTTTCCATCACAATATTTTTTTCCTATCAGCTATTATTTTTTAAAGGTTAAAAGCATAGGAGAGAAAGGCAATGAGCTGAATTATTTATACTTTTTTAAAAAATGCATCTAAGAAAGCCTACCTATTATCAGCTATTGTAATATTAATAACTATCAGTCCCAGGTTCATATAAGTGGGTTGCTGAACAATTTTAAAAAGAAAATTTCCCACTGACTTCAGTAACTTCTCTAGGAAAATGTAGATGCTTCAGAGAAAAGGTATTCCCTATTCTAATAAAGTAAAAGCAGAGCTCTTCAGTGATTAGAATTCTAGACAAAGAAGGAAGAGAAAGAACTAAATGCATACCTTCCACTTTTTCAGCACAAGATAGAATCTGGATTCCTTCCCACACACACACAAAAAAAAGCCTTTTCATCATTTGCATAATGTAATGCTAGAAAGGTTCTGGAGATTTTTCTCCCTCCATTCTGACTCAGTATGAAATACTGAGACCATTCCTTATAAAGGCAAGCCTCAACAAGCTTTGAAGCACTGAATTATACAGGTTTCACAGATAATAGTTCAGTTATGTTTAAACCTTAGAAGATACAACTAATACTTTTATAACAGAAATTCTGCTAGTCAATGCTAATTCATAGAACATTTACACTTAAAGTAAAATATTCTTACCTGGAGCCCAAGAAATGGAATAAATAACCCCCTCATTACCAGGAGATGTGTAAACTGCTGTTAAAGTATTTATGTCCCAAACTTTAATTGTGCCATCAAATGAAGCTGTAGCAAGAAGATCAGGGTTATCAGGTTTGAATTTGCAATCAAAGATGGTCTCAACATGTCCCTTAAATGAAACAAATATTTAATCCATTTTTATTACATTTGATTTTTTTAGAAGTCCAACTTCAAGATAAATTGTATTATAACCTGTCACGTTAATTATGAATTCCAGAAAACCTGTATGTTATGGCTCACCAGTCAAAATTAAAAGGCATAAAATATCTTGGTCTATAACACTCTTCTCTTTCATAGATCGTTATTAAAGACAGGAAAATTCTGCCCTGAAACAACAGAGTATGCAATGCCAGGGACTTGTTAGCATCTTCCACTGGTACTGAGTTGCTAAAAAATAGAATTAAAAAGTTTAGCTAACCCCCCCCCCCCAAAAAAAAACTATTTAATTTTTTAAAACAAAAATAATTTTGCCCTTTAGGTAAAAGGTATCTGACTAAAAAGTAAAGCTGTGTGCGTTGATCATATTCTACAAGTTTTCTACTATTCCACTGAGTTTTTTATATTTCTAAATACAGTCTATGTTCAATTGCAGTTTAAACTTCAATACATTAGAAATGACACATTTCAATTGCTTGTTTTCCAAGATGTATTTGTAGAATTTAACTTTACTTCATTCTCTGTTTTTTGCTGGTAAAAGAAAGTATGTAAGACAAATAAACTTTCATTCCAGAGACACAGATGAAACATACCAAATCTCTAAGGAAATCCCACTTTCTGGCTCCCATGTCATAAAGTCCTACTCCACCATCCATGAAGCAACAGACAGCGTGACCAGGAGGAAGAGAAAATGCTTGGTTTTGAGTTAAAGTTGGAGGAGGAATAGCCTCACTTGTTGAGGATGTGTAGTGATTTTTAGTAGGATGCTGTGATGAACATGCTTTGCAAAATAAAGCAAAAGATATAAACAGATAAGATTATTATTTTATTTTTTCATTTAACATTAGTAACAATTATAAAGAGTACAATGCCTTTTATTCCAATAAAACTAAGAACAAAATAATTCCTGTATGGAGCCTGGCCTACTGAAGAAGGACCTTACAAAGTGCTTTATCCTTTACACAGACCTTACAAAGTGCTTTATCCTTTACACATTTGTCTAGCTCACTGGCAGCAGAGGATACTTTGTTTATTTAAGAATTACAGGGCCAACACACACCTACCGAGATCAACTCAGATATAACAAGATTCACAAAGAAATTTTCTTAACTTGCAGCCGCTGCAGTAAGTTACAACCAAAGTTATACTTACACTTTTTCTTTGGAGGAGAGCTTAGTACATGCAAACCATGGAAGCCAGTTTTCTTCAGTTTAAAATTGTCTATAGGTGTTGCATGTGACACATTCCAAACACGTAACACACCAACCTGAGAATCTGAGATTTGGAAAAAAAACCCAAAACAATAAACTACCATACAAACCCTTTTTTTTCTGTTTTTTAATTTATTTGTTTTTCGCTGTACACAGAAGTGTGTGGTTAAAGGACTGATTTAAGCAAAAATACAATGATAGAATCCCAAGATTCATTTTATAAGCAGACACTGTCACCTCCACTGTAATACCACAATTAACAACAGTAATCATTTACATTATTTAAGCTTCAGTAGATAAACTCTATGAGACCTCTCTCATTAGCATATATTTCTGACTGTTAATGTCTATGGTGTAGAAAACAGGCAGGAAGTAGATTTAAAAAAAAAAAAAAAACAACCAAAAAAAAAAACCCCAAAAAAACCCCAAACCCTTCTGAAAATAGGGGAAGAAAAGCAGAGGATCAAGAAGTGATACCTGCTAGTACAATGCATTTTTACTCCTGTTCCCTAAGTCTCATATTTGTTGCTAAAGTGTGCATGAGGAAAATACTATTTAGTATAAAAAAAAGTTTAAAGAAGTCATTTTGTTTCTGTACCCAACAAAGTAAGTGAGAACTACTCAGTGAAGTTTTCTGTTCTTTTTTACAGTTTTATGGTTGAGGTTTTTTTGTACAATGAAAGGGCATTGGAACTAGGTGATCTTAAGGTCCTTTCCAACCCTAACTATTCTATGATTCTATGCTTTTATTTGTAGAAACGTTAAGAAACAGAAAGACTCAGTCCGATACTTATTAGCTTCGTATATATCAGGAAATAAAAGGCTTACCTCCAGTTATGAACATTCCAGGTGCACTAGAAACCCAGGCTAAACACTGAACAGATGCTGCTGCACTGGGAAAATTAAAAGTTGTGATACAGGACAGAGATTCAGAATCAACCAGTCGAATACCATTATGCAAATTAGCAACAAGAAGGTAGTCAGTTGACAAAGGGTCCCACTCCAGCGCTGTAATTGGATCCTCTTCATCTGTTCCTTCAAGAGACTCTGGTCTCAAGACATGTTTCTGACTTTTAGAACCTTTGAGGGCACAGGAAAACAATTTATTTCAACATGAAATCAAGTATATTCTTTACAACAGTTACAAGGTTTGCAAATACCATTTTTATCTCTCCCTGAACTTTTTAGTAGCCTGTTCTACTGCATGCACCTGTGAAATTAATGAAGTTATTTTGCAATATTTGACTTAAAGTATTTCTGGCTCCATCAGAAAACAGAAACAGCTGTCAGGTTTATTAACATAATTTTATACTAAAAAAACCTACGTTAAATCATATACATTGCCCTAATGATTTGCATGAGTAAAGGCCTACAGCACAGCCTAAAATACAAGTCTTTCGAGTAGAAGTAAATCTGCACGCCTCAGTATACACAGGCAAAATAAAGGCAGCATGAACCAGAAAAAAGAATGTGGCAGTCAAAAAAGTGTTTATGAACAACTGTGTTTAGACTTTTTTCCTTCCTCAAAACTGTGTGCAATTATGAAGCGACCACAGATTCTGAAGCCAGAACCTGCCATTAAATATCTTGGTTGACACCTGCCTAAAAGAAGACTATTTCACTTGATGATCCATGCTATCAAGAACCACAATTTTTAACATCATGATTATTTCCCTTGCTTTGTTTTATTTTTTTAGACAGACCTGAGTCTTAGTTTTATAAGAAAATGTACAGTCTAAATGAGTAATTAACAACATAGATCTGTAGTTCTGAAGTTGTGATCCTGTATTAAAAAACCCAAACCAACACAATTTTGTACCCATTTTCTAGAAACAAGGAATTGACATCTTCAATTACTCAATTTTTAATCTAATTTTCAATTTTATTAATAAAGAATACAATTGATTTGTCATATTACGATAAATGCCAAGACCTGTAATTCTAATGACTGATGTAGAACAAAGCCTATTCTGATACATACTAAAAAAACCCCAAAAAACGCTGAAAAGTTTTTGTTCACTAGGGAACATTCTTAACACCAAAATAACTCTCACTATGATTTTCTAGAGAAAAAGCACTCCATATATGTTTGTATATGAGACAACTGCAAAAGTGCAGTTGTCTCTTTTGAAGTATCAGGAATAACAACAGGAATAACATCAGAAATATCATAACTGCTTTAAATTTGCCAAAAATTTGGGGATTCTCACTTTTTTAACAATGTCCCCTTGCTTAAATTTCAAAGATTTTTTTGTTGACTAAAAATCAATATTCAAATGAAAACTAAGAACTGACAACAAAGCAGAACTGTCATTTTCCAGTTAGCTTTACAAGAACTAAAGGCAAAAAATCCTCGAGTGTTCAAAGCCTGTCATGTTCAAACATTTCAGTCCTAAGAAAGCATAATCAGATAAGCAGCTGGTGGGAGAGTATAGATATCTAGGAGCTATTCAGTTTTACCTGTTCCTCACAAAAGATTCCAGAAGTAAAGCTCATGGAAACCTTACCTGCTAGATTTTATTTTCCATTAAAAGAAGATTATGAGCTCTATGAATCATGCAACTGAATCAGTGTGTTTATTTTAAGAACAAATGGAGGTAAACTAATACTGAACATCTGGCTCTACACGACTGCACTGTATTTCTTTAAAAATAGGGTACTAATCTTAAATTCTTGCACATTTTTTATTCACCCTAAATGTTCTGCTCTATTAATAGACAGTCTGGAGTTAATAAAAGGAAAAGCCATGAAAGAAAAACCTTAGTAGATAACAATAATGAAAAAAAAAAATGTGTAGCCTGCTAATTATGCAGCAGTGACTCACACTTTAATAGCAAGACTAGAGTCAATCACACTGAACTTTAAAGCTATTAAGAGGAACTTGTGGATGTTCAGGTTCTCTCAATATAGTGTTCTGTAGGATAGCCTACAAAAAGACTGAAACCTTTAAAAGTAAGGAATAAGTTGGGTTTTTTTAAACTTATTTCACCTAGTGATAAACTAGGTTCTGGTCCAGTAAGAAGTCATTTTGTGCATTCTGACATGAGGTAGATGAGGGCTGAACTTCAGTCTCAAGGCAAAAAATTAGCTTTCTATACCTTATTGAAAAGCACCAATTCTTTGCCTCCCCCCCTTTTTTTTTTTTTTATAGAGGGCCTATATTCATACTCTTGATACCGCTTTCTTCTGTATATTGCTATTTTTCAAAAGCTATCAATTACAAAAGTCAGGTGAATTTTGACTAAATTGCAAACTAGAAACCTGTAGTTGATAAAATAGATAACATTCAGATATAACTGAAAATGTAGGCTTATCCAAGTTAAGACACATATTAAAGTTGTTTATAAAAGAGTAACCATAGCAATGGTACTTATATTTTATTACAGTGATACAATCTATTTTTTAATATTACCTAATTTTGAAAATTGTTTTAATGCATTTATCTGCCCATCAAAATTTTCATGATATATTCTTAAACACATCTACATTTTTAGCTAAACAAATTCTTTGCTTTTTTCTAATAGTGTAAAGAAAGCAAGTCAAAGGAAAACTAAGATTGGTCCGTATTCTTTCAAAGAGCCTAAGCAAAAGATTCAAGTCAGTTCATTGAGAACACACTTGCTGGGAAATATAGTTCAGTAGAAGACCATGGCTGCTATCATTCCCTGATAAAACAGTTTATTGTACTTGTACTGCATTGTTATCTTGGTCACAAAAGGGAAAAGATACAAAGAAAATGCTCTGTGCCCTCCACCTAAGAAAATATTTTTTGTGAAGTATACTATGAACTAAGGACAAGTGTTTTGTACACATACATTACAAAGCCTAAATGAAAAAGTACAGACATATACAGAGACAAGAGATATCAAATATTTTACCATATCAGTTTTTACCTGGCTGAAAAATAGATAGGCTTCCATCAGTATGTCCAAATACTACCTTTCCTTTTTTCTTTGGATGCCATCTGAACAGACTGATATCGGATAAGAAACTATGTGCTTCTCTATGTACAGTTACCCCGCTGTCAGGTCCTGAGATAGTCCAAATGTACAACGGACCTCTGTGGGACACAAATGCAACTGCATCACCTGCATTCCAGCACCAGCTAAGTGACGCAGGAATTCCTGAAACATACAGGTAAACCTTGTAAGAACCAGAATATGAAATTCAGTGTATTACTGCTTGACGCAGTATCAGCAATTGTCTTGGAAAGCTACAGAAATACGACATAAATACTACATAAAAATGATTAGAATGAAATTTAGGCAACTGTGTGAACACCTCATTGTGTAAAAGTAATCTATACTTATGCAAGACATACAAGATTTTTCAGAAATATCCTAAGCATTCTGAAAAGAACAGAGCAGAGACTCCTAAAATGTCTTAGAAGATCCTGCGATCCTGTTCTTCAGTTGCACCTATTTTCCAAGAATGCAAATGTAGGAGTCAAGGACACATGACTGAGATTGACTTTAAGAACACGAATACAGGTACTGGTTTTGACTGCATGGAAAGGTTGACAGAAACAGACCTTTAAACCCCTAGACTTCTCTTACAATCTCCAAATCAACAGTTACAAGTCCTGAGAGAAGATGAAGGCAGACAAGCATCAGTGTATTTAAACAAAAACTGGTTTTCAAATTTTCTGATAATTCACCTAGAATAATTTAACTTGAAGCTGTTGAAGAATTATAGACTCAACTAGGTTGGAAAGACCTTTGAGATCATCAAGCGCAACCATTATCCCACAACTGCCAAGAGCACTGACCATATCACTGAGGGCCTCATCTACAAGTTTCTTTGAACACTTCCAGGGACAGTGATTCCGCCACTTCCCTGGGCAGCCTGTTCCAATACCTGATCACCCTCTCTGTGAAGTCTTTCCTAATATCCAGTCTAAACCTCCCCTGGTGCAGCATGAGGCTGTTAACTCTTGTCTTATCACTTGTTACGTGGGAGAAGAGACCGACCCCACCTCACTACAACCTCCCTTCAGATAGTTGTAGAGAGTGATAGGGTACCCCCCCGAGCCTTCTCTTCTCTAGATTAAACAATCCCAGTTCCCTCAGCTGTTCCTCACCAGACTTGTGCTCCAGACCCTTCACCAGCTTTGTTTGCCTTCTCTGGACTTTGTTCCCCTCCTCTGGACCTGCTCCAGCACCTCAATGTCTTTCTTGTAGTGAGGGGCCCAGAACTGAACAGTGTTCTAGGTGTGGCCTCACCAGTGCCTAGTACAAGGAGATCATCATTTCCCTGGCTCTGCTGGCTATGCTGTTTCTGATAAAGGCCAGGATGCCATTGACTTTCTAGGCTGCCTGGGCACAGGCTGGCTCATGTTCAGCCAGCCACTTTGTCCTTCAGTAACATTTCCCAAGGAATTCTGCCAACCAGTATCTTAAATAGGCCAAAGTCAGTCTTCCTGAAGGCTAAGGTGGAGGTTTTGCTGACCTTTTCCTAACTTCTCCAATGACTGAAAATTCAATCATTTTGTGATCACTTTGCCCAAGATGATCTCCAACCATCACATCACTCACCAGTCCTTCTCTGTTTGCAAACAGCAAATCTAGCCAGGCATCTCCCCTAGTTAGCTCACTAACCAGTTGGGTTAGGAAGTTATCTTCCACGCTCTTCAAGGACCCTCTGGATTGTTTCTTCTCTGCTGTATTTTAGTTCCAGCAGACATCTGGTAGGTTGAAGTCCCCCATGAAAACAAGCGCAAGAGATCCTGAAACTTCTCCCAGTTGTTTGGAGAACATTTCATCTGTAGCTTCATCCTGGCTGAGTGGTCTAGAAGAGACTCCTACCAGGGTATCTGCTTGGCTGGCCTTCCCCCTAATGTTCACCCACAAACATTCAGCCTTCTCGTTCACAACATTGAGTTCAAGGCAGTTGATGCACTCTTTGACATATAACGCAACCCCACCGCCTCTTTTTCCTGGCCTATCCCTTCTGAAGAGCCTATAGCCATCCATTGCAGCACTCCAATTATGCAAATCATTCCACCACATTTCTGTGATGGCAATTATGTCATGATTTCCCTGCTGCACCATGGCTTCCAGCTCCTCCTGTTTGTTGCCCATGCTGCAGGCACTGGCATAAATACATAAGTTGCCCTGTGGACCTGGACTCTAACAGTAGCATGCTACCCCACGGCTCATTTCTAGCAAGCCTGATGTTATCCCCTTCCCCCTTTCAACCTAGTTTAAAGCCCTCTCTATAAGCCCTGACAGCTCCTGGGCTACAATCCTTTTCCCGCTTCGGGCCAGGCGTACCCCATCTGCCGCCAGCAGGCCTAGTGCCGTGTAGACTGACCCATGGTCAAAAAACCTCAGAATTCTGATGCTGACACCAGTCATGGAGCCAGGAATTAATTAATGAGATTTTTCTGATGTAATCATTGTCATTGATGGTGAGTGGCAGGTGTGATTATAACACTACCTGGGCTCCCAAACCCTGAACCAGTTGCCCCAAGGCCCTGAAGTCCTTCCTGAGTCCCCTCAGATTTCTTGAAGAGAATTCTTCATTGTCCACCTGGAAGACTAATAAAGGACAGCAGTCGCAGGGCCGTATCAGACAAATGAGTTTTCTGGTGAAGTCCCTTATCCTGGCCTCAGGGAGGCAGCAGACTTCCCTCAGTCTGGTCAGGTCAACATATGAGGCCCCCTGTTCCCCTTAGGGTGGAGTCACCAATCACAACCACTTTTTTTTTTTTTCTAGTAGAGCTGGTCATAATACAAGGTGTTCCCTGACTCTTCTGTGGGAACCCTTCTGGCCTGGATGATCCCTTATCATCATCTTCCTTACTTTCCTGATCCTGAAGTACCAGGGCCTCGAACCTGTTGTAAAGGGATACTTGGGAAGGTGACATGAGCTGGAGAGTAATACACCGTCCACTCCAAGGAGTAACCCGTTTCCAACCTCCTGTGTCTGCTAGGCCCCCTATATCTGCCTGATGGCAAGAAAATAGGGGATCCTGAAGTTTTTTTGTTTTGGGTGTCTGGCTTGCTTCTCTCAGGGATGATAGAGTGTGGGTCTGCCAGTCAATCTCCTCCTCAGATTCCCTTATGCTCCTTAGCTGTTCCAGCTCTTCCCGTAGCTCTGCCACCACGCAGAGCAAATCATCAACCTGCTGGCATCTTACGCAGCCACCGTCTAATGTCACCAACAGGCTCTGTCACTCACTACAGCCAGACACCTGGACAGCTACATGTTTATGAGGGACCTCTGGGTTGTCATGTCCTTCCTGGCCAGCAGAGAGGACTTAGTTTTCTTTGCTTTCTGTTGAGAGGATGCCATCCTAGAACATTTTCTGGATGACTACTGGCTAAGCTTACCTCTGCAGCCTGCTGGGCTGCTGGATCCTTTCTGCTCACCCTGTCTGCTCACCCTAGGCTACATTTTATTTGCTTTCACTTCCGTAAAGTTATCACAAAAACACAAAAGGTTTAAAACGTATACATCTTTTCATACAGCGAAGGAATTGTTTTTCCTGCTTAACAAGAAATCAGTGGCAAAGCAAATTCTTTAATTAGTCAAGTACTTGAGAAAAAGAACAACTTCGTTCTTTACCAGTTACTAGATGCTTCAGAGCAATTTACTCAAACTCACTATCATCTAAGATGAAGTGCAACAAATCTGACAAGAATACAGTGTTATGAAATTGTTAAACCTCTGGCCTACCAACTGCTTAGTTTACTCTGTATCAAGTACTTCTGGTACCTGCAGATGAAAAGGTTGTCAGATCAAATAGAACTCCATGTCTGAAATACCTTTAGTATTGTCCAGCTTGGCCACAACTTTCTGTTCAGTCACATTCCAAATAATCACTAAACTATCTGCACTGGCACTTGCAAACATGTCAGGATTGTGGGGACACCAAGATATGGCTGTAATTGTCTTCTTGTGCTCAGACATAATTGCCCGGAGCTTGAATTCATTGTATCGGCGATCCAGCTAAATAAAAAGTAAAATTCATTTTAGAAATACAAACTTTGTAAACTCACTTCAAGTAGTGTTGGATTGGAGACCAGTTTGTATAATAGTATTAGGCTTACAGATTAATTTATAGTGGATTTAACAGTTGTCAGTACCCAATATCTCAATAAATTAAATTTTCATACATTTGACTTGGACAGAAAAGTTGTATAGGACTATATTCAATTAGCCCTACTGGTATTAACACAGTCTATCCTCTTGTCACTTATAAACTATTACATCCCATTAGTAACTGCACTCAAACAAAATCCTAAACTGCTTTATTTATAGGCATGGTTACATTTAGTTATCTGCAACAAGTTAAACAGGATAGAGTATGAAAAAGAGTTTGAAATCCTTCTCATTTCTTAAATCACTGCGTACAATTTAAAAAACCCCAAAACCAAACAAAAATAAGTGCCCAAACCAACATGGTAAATTTTATTTTAATTATTTTAATCCTAGTAGCAGTATAACTCATGAAGATAAAACAAGCACATCCTTTATTTCCTGACATATCTCTCAGTCTAAAAGTTCCACCATTTCTATTTTTTCGTTAGGTGTTGATGTATTAGTTACTACAGAAGACCATGGTGCTGAGCAGTTCAGAATTTAAGAAAATAATAACTTGTTCCAAATCGAAGGAAGATAGGTCACTGTGTCCACAATTTTGCACAGTAGATTAAAGACTTCAAAAGACTACTTTTACAGTAAAGCATCAAATGAAACCATGGAATTGCTTCACTTCTCTCTTAGAACTTGCTCTTCTATCACTGCACTTCATTGATCTCAATTGTTTGCTGGATTGAGAGCCTGTCTTTTGAGAATAATTCTTGACACATACGACTTCAAACATAAATCTTTTGCATTAAGTGTAACAAGGATTAAAAATAATTTGGAAAGGGTATCTTGAATGGAAGATTAAACTTTACATAGACATCTTCTCAGTAGCAATCATACTTCCAAAAGCATTGTAGAAACATTTATTGAAAGGGTCCAAAGTGAAATAGACAACAATGTAAAAATGTCACTAGTCTGTTAGATAAAAATCTTACCTGATAAATATAAATAGCAAGGGTAGCACAGTAGGCAAATCTGTCCCCGCTAGCAGCACATACATCCTTGTTCCATGGCTGACATCCAGCAGCCAGAAGTCCCACTTGTTTAACCTGTGACATTTTTGCCTTTAAAACAGAAATGCATTAGACTATAAGACGACAGAATGTTAAAGAACTGAATAATACATTTTTGTTCCCATAATGTATAGATATGTACCTTAAAAATATAGCTAGCCTTTAAGTTTTAACAGCAACATCTTGTTTATGAGGTACAAATGAATGTATCCAAAATAAAGCCAAGCAGATGTTCACAGGCTTCAGTGCTACACATGAAAGAGATTTTAATACCATTCAGAGGTATCCATTTGGGAGAAAAAAAAAAAAGGAGGGGGCAACACAACACACAGCACATGAAACTCGAATAGTTTTTGATTTGTACTAGCTGCAGCTATTCTTCATCACTTTCATTTTCTTCTGCAGTCTGGTTCAACACTTTCTATATTACAGTGTAATTCCCTCTCTGCTCTCTTCTTCCCTTCATCCCCCACAAAGAAAGCTGGACAAATTAAACCATATGCTAATGTTTCTGATTTAAGTAGGCTAAGCAATGTGTCTAAAAAGGTCTTCAAACCACTTGCATAGAGCAACTATGCATTATTTATTATCATAATAATTTTTGGAGATGCTTTCTAAATTTTCTTAATAATTACTGTTTAACAAAAAGTTGAAGTAAACTGTGGGAAATAAAAAGTAAAGCTTAGTGTAACATTATTATATAACTCTATAGCGAACTATGCCTTCACTGTCCAAAACAAATCTCAAACTATCAGCTCTGCTCTGCCTCAGACCAAGGCAACAACTGACTTTTAACATGAAACCACAACAAATGCTTTCCAAGGCCAGACCAGTTACCCAATTACTAGGCAATATCTGATTCATGATAATGTCAAAATGTTACTCAGAGCAGATGAGCTGGGCCATTTTTCCATGGTCCATTTACATCTTGACCAAGAATGCAATTTGCAAAGGCATTGTTTAAACTTAAAGTTGTTGGTTGTATAAGATGACCTCCAGAGGACCCCTCCAACCTCAGCCATTTTACGATTTAAGAAAACATGCAAAATGAGACTTGTTGCATTTATTTGCAGCTGACAAGTAGTGAAGGCTATCAGTTTTTACAGAATCATAGAATCTTAGAATGGTTTGGGTTGGAGGAAACCTTAAAGATCATCTAGTTCCAAATCCCCTGCTGCAGTCAGAACATCTTCCATTAGGCCTCTGAATTCACTCAGAAACCAGACTTCATGTGATACAAATGTCCCAGGTTCAAGCCAACTGTCAACTGATGCAATGCCATCTCCTTCTTTGTTCAACCTGCAGAAATAATTATGGCTTTACCTCCACTATAGAAGGCTCCAGTGACCAAACAGCTGCAAATAAAGTTGACAAGGATAACGAGGTGGATCACAGCCTGCAACAGTGTGGTGATCCAAATGGCATAACAAGATCCAAATATCCACAAACAGGATTCAACACTTCTGCACAGAAATTAAATCAATCCAGAGAAGGTTTTGTGAGCATAACTGAAAGCACTACCCATACACAGGATATTTAGATAACCAGTAGGTAAAACCTCTTCATACATATGACTTCAGCTCTTGTGTAGACTGGTGAAGGACAATTCTACTGAGTTTCACCATACCACTGAGTGCTTCAGCTTGGGCTCAGGTAAGGTCCAGACATAAAAATGTAATCCTCCAACTATGCTAGAATGTCTCATTTAAAGACACATTCATACTGTGGATAGATTAACAATTGAGGGACATTTTGTCGGAAAACATTACATAGAGTATAGAGGAGGGATCTTTAGGTCAAAGAGCTGAGACTATAATCTTTAAAGACAAAAAGAGTTCTGTTCAATTTACGAAGTGTTAGAATTAAGAAAAAAAAAGATACTTTCAAAATCAAGTATTTTGAGGAAGCAACTGTTCAAGTACAAGGGTTAGTTATGCAATGCATTGCTGTGTAATAGCTCTAGAACAGATACGTTGTCTGCAGATCACTCTTCACCTACTTGGTATCAACTGTATAGAGGGGAAAATATTTTTCAGAATTATGTTAGTATTAAGGCATATATCAAAATAAGTTTGTACAAATATAGTAATAATGACTTATTATTAGGGAACCCATTAGTCAATATTGACAAAAGCATGAAAATGAAGTTGAATGATCAATTTTTATCTTCCATTTTTCTTATCTGCTTGGGGTATCTATTGGGCAGAAAAATAGTAATGAATAAATATAAGAAACCAACTCCATGAGATTAGAAGTCGCTCTCACACTGGGAAGTGTGAAAGAAAAAAAAAATACTGAGAGACTTATTTTGGGTGCTTCTTTAGCAAAAGATCGGGATCAGACTGAATGTTTGTGACTGATCATCTCAAAGATATAGCTGACTAATCAATAGTGCTTAAAATTTCTGACTGTGTTCTAAATGCCTAAAGAAACTGAAACACCCGCATTTAACCTCTGAATATTTTGATAAAGGAGACTGTACAACAAGAGAACAGAAATATACAGAGAAACAAGTGAAAAGATACAGCTCTGCTGCAGACAAGTGCTTTGGCTATTACACTTCTTTTCTATCTGCCAACAATATTAATTCTGAATTTTGCAGCAAAGAAGTTCTAGAGAGAACAGTGCTATAAATGGCACCTTGCAGCTCATTTGCAATCCATCTCATGTTATAAATGACATGAGTCCCACAGAAAGAAATTTATCTTATTATTATGAATCATCATCGCTAAAGTGACAAAAAAAATACACTCCAAGTTTCTGATTTTGCCATTTAGTGTTCTTTTACGGAACTAAAATTCCAGAGGTCTCTTTTATGCAACTGAAGTATCAATCAAATGTATTCAGAAATATTTGAATTTTGGACACTCAGAACTGCAACACAGGCTTTTTCCAGTCGCAATGGGAAAAAAAAAAAAAAAATAGCACCATTATCATAACAACCACTATTTCTGAAAGTGACCTGGGTGATTACACAACAACTTACTAAAATGCAGAATACCTGGAACCAGAACTCTTGGTTTCCACTCTTGATTCCAGGCAAAATGAAGGTTAAACCAAGGTGTGGCAGCCAACGGAGAAAGAATATTAAAAAAGCCATGGTTTTTTTGTAGCCTTACCACATGTAAGAGTGGTGAAAAGTTAACATCTCTTCAGACACTAAGAGTGCAAAAATATGTATTTCATGGTAATAACATTTGTCTCATTTTGTACAGATCCTCTTTTTTGCCTTCTCATATGATAGCTAAGAAGTTCCCAACTTGATGAAGATTAATCTGTAAGAAAATATTACCTTACCTCTTGTGTAATTTGTGATTTGATTACAGGTAAAATTGATTGTAAAGTTAAGATCTCTTACAGATTACAAAACAGAATTCCACAAATTCAGAGTAACAACAGATTTGTCTTGTAGGATTCTGCAGTAATCTGTATTAAAAAAGAAAATAAAATATGTTAATATATTCAGTAGATCTTCCTTTCGCCTTCATATGAAAGAGAGAAGTTATTTCTGACTATGTGAAGTCTAGTCTATAGGAAAATACTATTCTAGTGTCTGAGAATAAAAAGGATTCTAAGCCTAAGTGCTGAAATCCAGAACAAAAAAAAAAAATGTCCTCTACATTGGTTTTACAATTATCATGATCACACAGAATGGACCAGTGCTTGGGTTTGGAGATAGTTCCACTACTAGTGCTACTATTTCTATTGTTAATCAGCTGCACAGAAAACATGAAGAGGCTCTTATGTATTTTTACTTTTTTTTTTAACCCATGTCATAGGGACTCCTGCATAGTTTAGGGTATTTTAAGTGTTTCCAAATGCACGTGTCACCAATTAGAATTCAGGCCAGATTAAGCATGAACAAAAATCATTGTCATCAAAAGGCTGATGAAATAAAATTATTTCAGCCTAGTTCTAAATATCTAATGTTTGTAAGCATTGCTGGATACATCATATTAAGTACTGTATTTGAAATAGAAGAACACATTTTCCTCTTTCTGTTCTACATTTATATTAAAGACAAAGGGTAATTTTAATATGGTTTTTGTTTTGCTTTTTGTTGGGGTTTTTTGTTTATTTGGTTTTTTTTTTAAAGAAAATTCACCGATAGAATCCTTATTCTCAAGCTTACATAAAAAAAAAATTGGTTTAAATTAATGTACTATTTTTCTTAAAGTCTGAAATTCAAATGCAAATGTCTCCTAAATAAGATCAACACTTAGATGAAAAATGCCGCTTATAACATTATTTCACTGAGTTAATAATTCATGCTTAAGAAACATTATTAAACTTTGATTCTTCATATAGATTTTTCCTACTTAAATATATGTGAAAAAGTTATATACACAAAATATTCTGAGCTGTATTATAGAAAGGAATTTGCACTTTATTTACGGTTTAAAACTTTTTAATATTTCCTGCTCCCTTGAATGAGTTACATACTGTTTTACAAAAAAATATTGGAATTAAGAATGGTTTGAAATTCAGCACAATAGTGTCTAGAAGAAGAAATTACAATTTTGTGGCATACTGACTGTTATTCTGTTTTAAGTATTACGCATTAAAGTGGTTTCCTGCAGGTCTTTTCAGACATGGATCTCTGTTGAGCACACTTATAGTACAAGGGGAAAAGCAGCATTCATCAGAGTGGCCTGAGTAAAATGGCAGTAATCTAGAAATGCAGTATAATAAATATAT